TAGAGTGGGCTTCTCTTCATTAGCAAAATACAAAAGCGGCAAGAAGCTGAACGAGGTCGGATCGTCTATGTATAGAGACTAATTGGATGTCAAGAATTTAAAATTTCCATAAAGTCAAATGTCCCTACATCTATAGCATTTCTCTCGAGATCTCTAATTGTAACAGATGTTATTTCGCTTCCTCCATATATATATATATATGGAGGAAACGAAATAACATATATATATATATATATGAGTCAATGAATGAAAACATTATTTAATCTCAAGAAGTCCTTCCGAAAAACGAATCGCATCACGAAGGATTTTCATTTGTTATTCATTTACACCCTCACGTTATTTCTCTGATATATAAATTTATAAATCATATTCTCTTAGACATATATATGTATGTGTGGTTTGGTGTACAGATATATATATATATATATATATATATATATATATATATTATTACCTGTATTATTACCTGTAGAACAACATTTCCGCCTGGAAAAACATGATTTCAAAACCCATGCCAAATTCACTATAATTGAGAGAATAGAAAAGTTCAGAGCAGATAACATTAGAAGGATTTAAGAGTCCCATGAAAATAAGAGGATACAAGGTCTAAAAACAAAATATCCAGCCGGGCTAAACCATAAATTTAACAGTATATAGATAGTACCAATATATAAGTCAACAAATCAAAACCTACCCACATTTCTCACCCACACAAGACAGACATGCTTACGGAGGTGTGGAGGCCTCACACTTATACACTCACCCACACGAATATACACACTTACACACATTATACTCACTCACTCCCTAATGAGCCAAATAACACACACGCAAACACTAAACAGAGATACATTCCCTCACCAGGTCCAATAAAACTGTCAAAGTGAACAGAGAATTCAGAGTAACCTGTATCTCTCCAGCTCTTATCTCAAATAACAACTTAAAAAGAGACTGTTTGACCAACACAAGGAATGTTAAAAGATTCATGTTAAAAAGATAAAAAAAATAAAAAAAACAAATGAAAACTACAGACAAAAGTTCATTTTCTCCAGCAAAATACTCATTTCTGTAGTTTAGTGCTACCAGCAAGCAGAAATATTTCACCTCCCGATGATGGCCATTTTGGTCGAAACTAGTCGAGGAATCTAAATGGAATAATAGTAAAAAAAACAAAAAAAATGAAAGAATATTAATCTACAACCCAGTGTGTCTAAAGATTTTAATTTTTAATTTTTTTTTTTTTTTTTTCATTGTTCAATATATATATATATATATATATATATATATATATATATATATATATATATATATATATATATATACAATATAGTTCAAACCTTTTGAAGCCACTAACTTAATTAACATGGGATGAACTTGAGAGAAGAGTAAAAAGAAAAAAACCTCTTGGTGTCATTGAAAAAAGAATAGAATCAATTATCAAACTTATACTTTGACAAAAGTTTGCAACGAAGGCCCAAAATTTGTCTGAAGTTATCAAAGCTAAAAGAGGATATTTTGACGTGAGCAAAATTTTATCATAAAATGATTTGTTTCTTTTTTTATAATAAAGTTTCTAATAAAATATCATGTGTAACTTTTTTCAACCATGTATACTAATTTTCTCTTTCTTGGAACCAATTTAAGAAATTACCATATATATATATATATATATATATATATATATATATATATATATATATATATATATGAATAAAAATGACAATAGGAAAACTAGTAATTACTAACGCGTATCGTCCAATTTGGACTTTATCAAAAAAAAATAAGAAATGAATTTAATTGAACAAGGTAACTAATAAAAACAAAATTAAATTCATTTCGTATTTTGCTTTGATAAAGTCCACATTGGACAAAACGCGTCAGCAATTACTAGTTTTCCTATTGTCATTTTTATTAATAAATATTGTCTTCTCTACTGGTTAAATCGGAGAAATCTTCATATATATATATATATATATATATATATATATATATATATATACGTTCAAATAATTATGCCACCCCACAAAATATATATATATGCAAATACATACATTTAAAATCAAATATATATATATATATATATATATATATATATATATATATATAAAGTAATGATGAAGATATACTTGGTATAAGTTTTCTTATTTAGTTGACTTGTGGGAGCAGAATAACGATTTTGGAAATTAAAAAATCTTTTAGCTACACCTGTTGACTCTGACACCGCTTATTATTGAATAAGAAAACATTTTATACCAACGTGTTTCCTTCCCTGAGGAACTTTATCAAGGTAAACATGGAAATTTCATTTGGCAATCATTATTCACATACACCATTAATGTGGTGTTGCTCACCACTGTAATAGCCAAGTAATGAACTTACAACTCTTTGGGTCAAGTCCGTGGATCCTATGAACGCTTTTATCTAATGGAGCATGTGTCCTTGAGGTATAGCACGTGGAACTAGAACAATCTACTCCGG